CTTTTTGCTTATGTGGTGCTGAGGAATCGAACCCAGGGCCTCATGCATGCAAGGCAAGCACTCTACCACTGAGCCACCTTCCCAGCCCCCATTAATTAATCATTTTTTTTGGTGCTAGGGATTGAACCTAAGTCCTTGTGCATGTTAACCATACCCTTCTACCACTAAGTCTAGCCTCTGTGATTTTCTTTGTTTTATTATTTTTTTTCCTAGGGGAGGGTATCAAGTCTTACTGGTTAGCTCAGTTGTATAGCTATGTGGCCTCAAACTTTTAGTTGATATAGCTGTGCAACACCATGCCTAGGTTTTTTGTTTGGTTTCTTCCCTCCCTCCCTCCCTCCCTCCCTCCCTCCCTTCTGTATTTCCTTCTTTCTCTCGCTCTTTCTTTTTCTTTCTTGATAATGTCTCTCAGGCTTGTATCCCAGGCTAGTCTAGAATTCGTGTGTGTGTGTGTGTGTGTGTGTGTGTGTGTGTGTGTGGTGTGTGTTTGTTACAGGTACAGGGGCTTGAACAGGTACAGGTGCCCTTCAGCTTTTTCAATCAAGGCTAGTACTATGCCATCTGAGCTGGTTAGCTCAGTTGTGTAGCTATGTGGCCTGCTTGAGCCACAACATTATTTCTGACTTTTTCTGTTTATGTGGTACTGAGGAATTGAACTCAGGGTTTCATGCATGCTAGGCAAGTACTCTACCACTGAGCCACATTCCCACATTCCCACATTCCCACATTTCCCAGTCTTCTCCCTCTCCCCATGTTTTTTTTTTGGTCAGTTGAGCATGAATTCAGTGCCTAGGTGGGAAGTCCCTGAGCTCTTTTTGCTCAAGGCTAGTGCTCTACCACTCTGAGCCATAGTTCTACTTCCAGTTTTCTGGCGGTTAATTGGAGATAAGAGTCTAATGCACTTTTCCTGTCTCAGCTGGCTTTGAACTGAGATGCTCTGATCTTAGCCTCCTGAGTAGAGAGGATTGCAGACATGAGCCACTAGTGCCCAGCTTAGCTTTCTTTTAATTTTTTCTAAAAATAATAACTTTCTATTAAGGAAACAAAACTTAATTTGTAAAATGGGAATGTCAGTTTCCATGAATAATCTTAGTAGTGATGTTATTAAAAGTAATTGATTTGGAATAGTAATTGACTCACATAGATACAAGATGATAGAAAACTATATGCTATTTTAAACTGAGATTTATGTTCTATCTTAAGGACAAAAATCAAAATACTGCCTCTTGACTATTGCATCTGAGATTCGCCTTTTCCCCAGTTGTTTCATTTGCACTAAAGACAATATAATTTATAAATGTAATTTATGATACTGAAATTATGTAAGTTATTTTAGAAATTTTTCATTTTGTAGATTACAGTGAAAATGATTAGTGCTTCATAAGTAAACTTTTTTTTCCCCTTTATATAGAGAGTTTTGGAATCTGAAGAACAAGTACTTGTAATGTATCATAGGTATTGGGAAGAATATAGCAAGGGTGCAGACTATATGGACTGCTTATATAGGTAAGTACAATTTTTGGTGAAATTGGTGTTTAGAATTCAGGTTCTTGTGTGCTAGGCTGGTGTTGTGCCATTTGAGCCATGCCTCAAGCCAACCACAGTAAGTATGTTTTAAAAATCCTAACATCTATGTTCATCATAGTCAAATTATGCTTTCAGCCAAACAACTGATTGATGAGTAGCTAAAGAATATATGGTACAAATACACTATAGAATATTAGCTGTTAAAAAATGAAATTATGTCATTTTCAGGAAAATTATTGGAATTAGAGATCATCATGTTGAACAAGATAAGCCAAACTCAGAAAGCCAAATGTTATATATTCTTATTTGTTTGTGGAATCTAGAGTAAAATGATCATGATGGTGCTGTTGATAATGATAATGGAATGTGAATGTAAAGGGGACTGTTTGGGAGGGTTAGCAGGCATGGGGAGATGGAAATAAAAGGATGTGGGGGGTGGAGAGGAACAAAATATATGTACATGTTTATATAATATTCATATGCACAACATAATGAATCCACCAAATGTGGTTAGAGAGAAGATGGGTGTGGGGGTGAAATTGTTTAGAATACACTAGATGAATGTGTATAGAGCATAATAAACCCCTCTGGTGTTAGTAATATGTATTAATTAAAAAAACTTAACAGGCTAAACAGTATTGGCTACATCTAGTAACTGAAGGAATAAGATTTTCTTCACTTTTTATAAGTTTTTTTTTTTTTTTTTTGGTGGTGGGCTTGAACTCTGGGCCTGCTCTTCAGCTCAAGGCAAGTACTCTACCGCTTGAGCCACAGTGCCACTTCCGGTTTTCTCAGTGAGTGGTTTCTTAGAGATAGGCGTATCATGGACTTTCCTGCCAGGGCTGGCTTTGAACCACGATTCTCAGATCTTAGCCTCCTGAGTAGCTAGGATTATAGGTGTGAGCCACCAATGCCAGGCTTTATTAGCATATTATTATTGTTATTACTATTTTTATTATTTTGGTGCCACTATTGGGGCTTGAACTCAGGTTTTGGGTGCTTTCCCTTAGCTTTTTCATTCAAGGCTGGTACTCTGCCACTTGAGCCACAGCTCCACTATCGGCTTTTTGGTGGCTTATTGAGTCCCCCATTGGGCTGACTTTGAACTGGGATCCTCAGATTTCAACCTATTGATTAGCCAGAATTACAAATGTGGGCCACAAGCACCCAGCCTTTTATTACCATATTATTAATATTACAAAATAATGGCTTTGATTGTGAAGGAGTAATTTTCATTTGGTATTTTCCATTGAAATTCAAAGAATGAGATCATTTCTCTTGACTTTGATTCTTATTGGCAACAAGTGTTGGTTTCAGTCAAATATATGTTTTGTGGCTAGGCAGTGTATAGAAAAAGTTTTTCTGAAAATTTAAAACTACATGGCTGTATTTGTTCTGTCTGGAATCTACAGTGCGTATCAAATCTAAACAGATGGATGTGAAAATTCAGTTTGGATGAAATGTGGTTTAAATATTAACTCCTGCTCCTCTGTAAGTTCCTATTTGACCCTAGCATTCAGTATTTCACATTTCATGGGAAATTAAGTGCTTGCTAGTTTTCCTTTCCTTTTTCCTACCCTGTTCTCCAGGCATATTGCCTTTCCTCATGCTACTGCATCTGCCTGGATTACTTTTCTTCTTTTTTATGGATGACTAATTCTGGCACATTCTGCTTTCTAAATTTGGTCTGCCTTCCTGGGCTGTCTCTTGCTTAGGTCTTTGGTGTCACTATGACTGCTGTGTGTTGCCATGGCATTCTATGCTGATCCCATAACCCAATCCAGAAGACAGTAGAAATGAGGACAGTCACCTGTTGCATGACAGGAACCTGTTCTAGAAAGAGTGCTGGGTGATTTCTTATTTAATCATCAGAGCATGTATGTACATAAACTAAGATGACAGTGACATCATTAAACAACACAATCTTAGGGACCAGTGTCATGTAATCCATTGGTAACCAAAACCCTTATGAATGTATTTTGGTATGTAAGTCCTGCTTACTGACACATAGTGAATAAATAGGAAATAGTGGCTGTAAGTATGGGTTTTTGTTTTGGTTGTTTGCTTCCACTCTTGGACCTAGGCAGGGTGTTTCTCTCTCTCTCTCTCTCTTTTATTTATTTTTGGGCCCGGTCAGGGGGCCTGACCTCTAGGCCTGAGCACTGTCCCTCAGCTCTTCAGCTCAAGGCTAGTGCTCTACCACTTGAGCCACAGCGCCACTTCTGGCTTTTTTCTTTTTGCTTATGTGGTGCTGAGGAATCGAACCCAGGGCCTCATGCATGCAAGGCAAGCACTCTACCACTGAGCCACCTTCCCAGCCCCTCTCTCTTTTTTTGTCAGTTGTGGGGCTTGAACTCTGGGCCTGGGTGCTGTCCCACAGCTCTTCATCTCAAGACTAGCGCTCTACCTCTTGAGCCACAGCACCACTTCTGGTTTTCTGAGTGGTTTATTGAAGATAAGAGTCTCATGGATTTTCCTGCTTGGGCTGGCTTTGAACCATGATCCTCAGATTTCAGCCTCTTGAGTAGCTAGGATTACAGGCCTGAGCCAACAGTGCTTGACTTAGGGTGTTCTTTTTGAACTGATTGTAGCCTGGCACGGATGTTGTGATAATTTTGCCCCGTATACTATTGGTTGGGTCATAGCTGGGCCCTTCCAGGTTTTCACTGGGGTAAGGTTGAGGAATTGTTGACTCTAGGCATTTGTTGTGCAATCCCACCATGCATTGTAGCTCTGTTTTGTTGCTAGACCAGTGCTCAGTGTTTTTTTTTTTTTTTTTTGGTGGGTTGTGGGTCTTGAACTATGGGACTGGGTGCTGTCCCCGAGCTCTTCAGCTCAAGACTAGTCTCTACCATTTGAGCCACAGCACCACTTCTGGTTTTCTGGTGGTTTATTGGAGATAAGAGTCTCACAGACTTTTCTGCCCAGGCTAGCTATGAACTGTGATCTTCAGATCTCAGCCTTCTGAGTACCTAGGATAGTAGGTGCCCAGCTCTGCTCAGTCTTTTTATTGCCGGTCCTGAGTCTTGAACTTGAGGTCTGGTCTCTGTCTCTGAGCTTTGTTTGTTCAAGGCTAATGCTCCACCACTTGAGCCACTTCTGCTTTGTGGTGGTAAGTGGAGTTAAGTTCATGGACTTTCCTTCCTGGACTGGCTTTGAACTGCTGTCTTCAGATCTCAGCCTCCTGAGTAGCTAGGATTACAAGTATAAGCCACTGGTGCCTGGCCAGTGGTCAGTCTTTTATGTTGTTTGTCCTCCTTTGCTTCACTGATTGATCTCTGATTTTTATAACAAAACTTCAGTTTAAATTGTCTGCTTTATAAACTGGGCTTATTTCTTAATGGCCCAGGGCCTTCTGAAGAACAAAATGCAATAATAAATCTAGGTACTATTGCAGTAAAGCACAAGATTACTATGGCTTTTTATAAAGTGGTGTCTGCTGTACATTAAGTGTTTGATTTTTTTTTTCCCTTCTTCTACTAACATGAGATAAATTAGAATTCCTGGTTAAGACCTGGGGATATATATTGGCATGAGTGTGGATTTGGATTTGATCTCCAGCAAAATATGCACACACACACACATGTGCGCTCACGCGCACACAATTGTGCACACGCATGGACCCACTCCCCTAGATGAAATGTAGGGGAATTTGAAGGGTAAGAGTTCATGCGTGTTCATTGATGCATGCTTTTGTCATTGTGGGGGTATGTTGACGACTTCAGAGTGCACCATACTATGAGATTTCTCTTTAGCTGATAAGATTTAATAATGATTTAAGGAGTTTTTTTACTCTTGTTTTCTAAGAATTTATTTGGCTCTTTTTTTGTTTACTAAAATTAATTAATATACAATTTATGTACAAGTGCAAGCGTGTGTGTGTGTGTGTGTGTGTGTGTAAAGCCTTGGAGGGATGGTATTTCCTTACTTTCCTGCTTCTCTCTCTCCCTCCTCTCCTCTTCCCCCTCCCCCTTTCCCTCTTTCCCTCTTTCCCTCTTTCCCTTTCTCC